AACCACCCTACGACGGGCCGTTCAAAGTGATTAAGCGACATGAGAAATTCTATGTAATTGAGCGAGGCGGACGCGAAGATACTGTCAGTATCGACCGTTTGAAACCAGCTTATTTCGAAGGCAACCCCATTGTAAGTGACGTTTCAGCTCGCTACATCCGGCCGACGGATGACTCAATTATCGAAATTCTCGACGATGTGCCTGGTAATGCACAGCTGCAACAACCAGCGGCGCAACAAAAAACACGATCAGGTCGAACCGTCAGGTTCCCAGAGTACCTGAAGTCATATTCAACTTAGCTATGTGTGTGCCAACCATTTTTTTTCGAGGCACTATTTTTCTTATTTACCGGCACAAACCCTCGTACACTTTGCCTTTTTATATCAATTTTTATTTACCATGTAATAAAAACTAAAAAAACGGCGAAGATAAGCGTAAATTTTTCTTTTTCGACACGTTTATATATAAATAATTCCCATTTTTACGCAACGTTTTCGTGGTATTAAAGACTTTTATTTATATTCCAGGTGCAACGAGCACTGGACGGAACGTCGAAAGGAACAGATGACCGCGACCGACGTACAATTTCATTTATTGTATTTTATTTATTTAATCGCCACGACACCCTAGAATAAGGTTCAGACAACCAGGGGCCACCTCACGCAGTGAGCCCATCGGGAGAGTTTTACCAGTGGAGAAACCACTGGGTTTTTACTTCCGGCTGGTATCGTCTTAGGGTCCTCACGAACCCACTAGGGGGGGAGTGATCTGTAGCGTCATACACTTCCCCAAAATCAATAGCCTAGGGTTTGACGACTTCGACATTGATGCTGACCTTGATAGTTTAACTGGACTCGCTAAGCTGAAGGCATCCGGTCAAGCATCCTCGCCATTTGGCACGCTGTCGTGTTACGTTGCATTGCTCGTATTCGACTCTCTAGCCAGTTAGTTGGAACGCATCGGTATTTTGGCATAACCATCCAAATATACTATTCCATCCGACTACGCTATCGTGTTCTTCCTTGGTCTCGTATTCGTGGGTATATAACAAGTTCGAATAATTAGTGATTGGTCTTTGCGTCTGTCAAGTTCGCACCAGGACAAATCCTAAATTTGCTATTCGTTAACTTATACCATTTACAGGGCTATGGTGATATTCAAGGTCGAGTGTATTGGACTGGAGTTCACTCTGTTCTTCTACATGAATATGAAACATGGCTACAAAGGTTGAAGTCGTAAGGAAACTTCAGGTGTTCGGCCACTGTTGCATTCGTAGCATAGGTCACGTGTCGTGATGTCACCACTTCGGCAACGCGGATATCAGGTATAGAGTTTTAGGTAGGGGAGGCAGGTCAGTCGTTGAGGCTGCGAACCTTTATTGACTCAGATGGCTAGGATATGTGTTACGGACGGCTGGTCACCTTCTCACCCGTCACACAACATTGGCTAAAGTGGATTTATGCTCCTAACAGGTTTAAGGTGGCCGGACCAAAATAAGTCACTAACGTATGAAGTTCTTGACTATCAGTTTGAGTCGTGTAGGGGGAACACAGACAGGCTAGTGAGTGTCCATGTAGTAACTGAAATCGGTGGTTGAAGGCTCTAGATGATATTGACTGAAAATCGATTTCAGTGGTGCAGATGTATCCACACATTATCTTCATCTTAACCATCATACCAAATCTCAGTATTCTTTCATTGTTCATTACTCTAGTTTCACGGCATTCTACATGTTTTGAATGCTTTCTTCGTTATGTTTCATCGCAGAGCATGCTCGTTTTATATGCTGATATGAAGTATGGCAACTCGGACTACCACGTAATAATGCTAGGTCGCATTTTAGATGAACTAAAACTACCAGATCCGGTGACGAAAAATTCATCTTTTTCCACATTGACCAACAAGGAACTATTAGAACATCATCAACTAGTAAGATGTTGTAAGTAAAATAAGTAAGTAAGTAAGATAAGTTGTAGGTTAAGAAAGAATATCTAGTCTGCAATCTACACAACAATCATTGCCCATCCTGACAAGATTTAGCCTAAGTTACGCACACACGGTTAAAATCAAAACCATTTGTAACCACAACTAAGCACAAAAGGATATTTTCTTTGAGAAAAAAGAATGACTGAGTGAAGAAATATGCTCCTTTTCAATTAGATCTTCATCTCCGGCTGGATATCAATATAAAAGTTTCCAATTCATATGAAAACACCAATCAAGTGGTGTGGCGCTGGTTAAGAGCTGTATGTTGTAAGTCATGAAGATGATAAGTTTGTAAAATCAAGATGTATAATAGTGTGAAACAGTTTACTCTTAAGCAAATGGAATATTCATTGGCAAATTAAGTTTTTTCTTTCTCCAGTGGTCAGTCATATACAGTAAATAATGAGAGAGGAATGCATTTCTTCGGTCATAAGAAAAGGCCAAAAAGACAGTTACAGTGAAAAGATTTTCTTTCCGATGAAGTCATTCGCTAGGCTGTACATACGTGAATATATCTTACAGTGGGCACAACATTCCAGAATTATCTCTAATCAGGGGTAAAAATATGCTGAATGACGAAATGAAGTTACGTAGTACAAATGAGGGTTTAGAGAAAGAGAATAAGCCAGGCATTAAGAAAAAAGTATAATTACCTAATACAGGGTTTATTTATGACCGTCAAAACCTTATGACGTCTTTGACAAGGGTTGAACGCATCGATTTTGCACACAGCGCTCGTTTGAACTCCCAAATAGCCAGTGCTTCAACTATGCCTTGAAGTTACTCCATTTAAATGATTTGATGAAACCCTGTAGAGGATTTCGAACGAGTTGTAAGGAGAAACTGAGTCCTCAAGGCGTTCTGTTATTGAGCTGAAGACGTATTTCCGTTCTTCATTTACTAACATAGCTGAGTAGTCTTCACCAGCACGTTTTACAAGAAAAGGCATGGTACGGCCAATGCACAGCGTAATACAAGAAATACATCATGTTGTTACGGCAATCCATCCAAGTCAACATAGGGCCAGGCATTACTGCATAATGCTCCGAGTTGCCACACCTCATATCACTACATAAAGTAAAAAGGTAGTGAGGTGCAAGAAGAAGATAAGAAAATTCAGTCAAAAGAAATATAACTTACTCAAAGAGAGAAAGGAAGAATAGGAAACTGGTGAGATTCGGTATAGCGTCGTTAAGATGAGGATAATGTGTGTGGGGATACGTCTGCACCACTGACACAGGTTCTGAGCCATATCAACTAGAGTCAGTGTCCAACCACTGGTTCCTCTTGTCCTGCCGACCCCAACAGGCTAATCTCCATCGCCCCACATGGCTCAAACCAACAGTCAAATACTTCATACATTGGTGCCATATTTTAGTCTGGCCACCTCAAGCCCCTTTTCAAGCCTGGGTCTACTTCGGCCAACATTGTGTGATGAGGCAATCAGCGACTAGGCATACGTAGTACGTGTCCCAACCATCTCAGTCGATGAAGGTTCATAACCTCGTCAACTGATGTACCTCTACTCCCTAGAACTCTACACCTGACGTCTGCGTTACTCACACGGTGAAACCACGGAATAAGGCTTATACTACGAAGGCGACGGCGGCCAAACACCTGAAGCCAGACTTTTCATGTCTTTCACCTTCAATAGCCACGTTTCTAAGCCATACAGTAGAACATACTGCTGTGCAGTACACGCGACCCTTAGTTGACAATCGGATATGACGGCGGCGCCATAGGTGGCGTTAGGTTGGCGAAAGTCAGCGGAGCCTTTTGTATTCTTGCAGAGATTTCATCGGCCACTGAGCCATCAGGACTGATCTTGCTTCCCGGTAAGTGAAGTGACCGACACACTCAACCATTATACACCCTATTGTTACAGCCACAGTAATCCAAGTGGCTGTACAAATTTCATTTTAATATAACGATTAGACTCATGAAGGTGGATTGAAATCCCCTCTGCCATGCGAATGTCTAGTCCATGTGTTAAATTAATTCGCATATGATGACTAATTCTAAGTGCTTCGCTAGTATCCGCTAGATTTCCAGTGTCAAATAAGTGTGCAAGTATCGAGCTCTTTATTGTCCTAATTACTATTTTTTCATTTATCCCGTATAATCACTCTATAATTATCTCTGATCAACCCTTCATCATCACTTGGTTGATATTTTGATCTGAACTGTAAACCTATCTATATTAGCGTAGAGCCAAAAACAAAGATTTAATTGAAAAGGGATATATTTCTTCGCTTAATCAGTCTCTTTTTTCCATATTTCCTTTCAAAGTTTCATCCAACTGTATCCACCCTCACTAAGCGCACAATACAAGAAATAAGCAGAAAAATGCATAATGTTGTATTTAACTAATTTCCAGTGTATTCATAGAAATATAACAAATTATATAAAATGCTATTTATGTAGCCCAGATTAATAAAAAGAAAGGCATATGCTCATCCACACATCCAACCACAGAAAAGCACCCACAGGAAGCCATATTATTGGTGAAAAATGCAACAAAGAACAACAATACAACAGTAGAGAAGATATGTGACTTTGATAGTTAATAATTGTAAAATATATAACTGTCATAGTACATAGTAAACACAGTAGGTGCAAAATACAAAGTAGTAATAATTAGGTAAAAAGCTGGTCAATAAAAAATCAAGCATGAAATAAATGCGAGTACCGAGGTAAAACTTGAAAAAAGATGCACGAAAAAAAATGCCAAGTGTAGTTAGTATTACGAAATGTCTTTGGTATATAAGCATGTAGTAGTCAGTGGTGAAAAGAAAAGAGAAGCAAACAGAAGAAAAGACTCATGTGAGATCATTAAGTAATTTGGCAAATTATAGATGACAACCATATATGAGGATAAATAAGCAGCAATGTGTGCAGAAAAGAGAAAGTCTTTGGTCAATACAAGACGATATATGTATATACTGATATGATTGGTAGCAATTGTTATTCAAATGCCTCTTTGCGAATGAATTTCAAGCCTTCAGTTAACAGACACGACTTGGAGTCAGTAACAGTTGGTGTTGACGTTGACGGCAGATTCTCGGTAACATTTAACTTTCTAGGTACTAATTGGATTGTTTCTGAATGTCTGTCAAGCATGTCTAATTCATGACCGGCAAGAGAATCTTGTGCTGCCATTGCTGTTGTTGCATTGTCAGGAAGTGTTGGAGGATTCTTGATTAACAAACGATTGTACAGTTGTTGACCAGAGGCACTACGAAACTTATGCGACGGTGAATAAAGACACAATACGGCAACAACGTAGATGTTCCACATACCATAAACACCGGTTATAAATGCTGACGTATACTCTACACTTCTTTCACCCCATTTCCATTGGTCTTCGGTAACCTTTCGCAAAGAAAAATGAATAGAATGCTTTCTTAGTTTACATTTCTAATACACATATGAAGACGATATTTATCCTACATAAAATCAAAATCATGCGGCTTTACACGTACACTACTTAACTGGTGCTTCATTACACTGATTCGATAAAAAAGTGTTTCAGCAAATGCAACTCAAGTCACTGTAATATGCAAACCCGACCACCACGTCAAGGTAGCAGTTATAGGCCGGGATATAGAAAGCACGTATAGCATTGGCCGACTCCCGTCATCTTTGGCAGTGACTGAGGGGATATTAGACCACGTATAAAAGGACTAACATACTTCGCTGCAGTCCTCTGTGTCCTGTTATACTACTATGAGACACGGCCGTTAGAAGTATAAGATATGAAGCAGTTGCAAGGTTCGGATTATAGATGTCTTGGTAGCGTTCCTGGCGTTTCGTGGAATCATCATGTGAGAAATGTTGAGGTCAGGTGAAGGGTAATAGGCGAGACAAGCAAGTCAGACGGTGAGGTGAGCCTTGGTCGACTGAGATGCCTTGATCATGTATTGCGCATGTCCAGCCACCACCTACCTCAATATGCTATGCTTGAGGAAGTTGAACTAGGTTGGAAGAGGGTTCAGAGTGATTAGATCAAGACGTGGCATCAGTCCATGAAGTCTCTTCCTTTTGGTCAGAATCGTGTTGGAAGATGTGGACCACTTGGTTGGAGTCCCCAAGATGAAAGGAATCAGCAGTTGTGAACTATTGGTGACACGGCTGAAAACCGGTCACAATGGTACAGATGTATTCACTCTTTGACACCTTCTAAACCTTGAATATTCGCACTAACCTTTATCTTCAAATTGTTTATTTGCCTACTTCGATATCACTCTTTCTATCCACCTGTTCTTTGTATACTACTGTGAAGTGTGGCAACTTGAGTCGATGCACATGTGTGGGAGGTCCTACGTTGATTTTGTCTGTTTGTCTGTCAATAAACATTTTAATGAAGACTTCATATGAAAAAAAATGAAATCCAACCAATGGGCAACGAGTCCCAACCCAGCTTCACCTACCAAGGTTTAAGCAGACAGGTAGTATAACCAACCAACCCTCACACAACAGGTTTGGCTCACTGCCTACTGCATGAATGTGCGCAAGGTTGCTGAGTAGGTTCTGTTAAATGCGTTCCAAAGTACGGGCGAAGTTATGAAACTACCAAATCATGAAGTCAGTGTATGGCAGAAATTCAGGAGCACTAAAGAATCGAAGAGAAATTGTCATGTTCCTAAGCGGACAAATATACGCGCGCCTAAATAAAAGCTAACTTGTACACCTGACCACCAAGGCTGACTGGGGAAATCACGTGCTAGGCCAGCCCTCGAGTGGAACCCCGATGGGAAGCGACGAGTTGGGCGTCCAAGGGTGACATGGAGATCGTGTGAGGAAGAAATGAGAGCTTCTGGGCTGTCATGGAGCCAGATTCAAAAGTTTGCAGAGAACAGGATGCACTGGAGACGTGCTACTGAAGCCCTCTGTTCCACTAAGAACCCAAGGGACAAATAATAATAATAATAATGACACCTGACCACTGATTCCGAAGCACAGACGGAAATATAGGGGAGACTGATATGGATGGGAGAGTGTTTTGCGCCTCCGAGAAGCTCCTTCAAATGACCCAAAGCATGTGCGTATATTTATACATGACATATGACCTTGTCGAGAACTTGAGACTACTACCATAGAAACCAATCAGCGAATTGCCTTGGAAATACGAGGTGGAAATGAACTACTGGCCATGCTGTAGAAATGGCGCAAAAATGACAATTTAAAAATGTTTAAATTAATGTTTCATGCAAATCTGGAACCCCTCAACAGTAATATACCTACGTTTCATAACTGGCCTATGACAATATGTGTAAAGAATTAAGTAAAGCATACAAGAACTGAATTTCAAAGTTACTGCTATTTCTATTTTGGAACTTATCAAGACGACCGTTCATCTGCGTCAGAGTATTATTTAGGATAGAATGACCTGTCCTTCAAGGTCGAATTCATGTCTGTTTCTATTTATCGTATTTATAGACAGAAATAATCAACGTAGAACTTCGGATTAAAATACATCGATTCAAGTTGTCACACTTCACATTAGTATACAAAGAACAAGATGATAGGAAACATGAATATCATAGAGGAAAAAGGCGTATGGAGGTCAGAGGAAATTTAAATATTAAGGTTAGTCAAATCATTCAGACAGTGAACACATCTCCGCCTTCGTGACCAGTTTTCAGCTATTTCACCAAGAGACTTCAACCATTCATTCCTATGGTCTCAAATACGCCAGCCAGGTACTCTAGATTTCCTCATACATCCCGGACAAACAATTGGAGATTTCGTCGACCGGTGCCACGTTTATATCTTGCCATGCTGAGCGCCTCTTTCGAACTACAAGTAGTGCACATAGAGGTAGGCGGTGCCTGGGCATGTGTAGCACATATACAAGCTATCTCAGTCGCTAAAAGTTCACAAATCTATCGACTAACTAGTCTTCCTTCCCAAAAATTATTCGCTTGACCTCAACGTTGCTCACATGATGATCCCACCAAACGCAAGCAATGCTACGGAAACACATACTATCCAAAAATTTTATCAGCTCCACATCGTCTACCTTTAACCGCCATGTATCGCGGTAGTTCAACAGGACAGAACGGACTGCAGTGCAGTGTACTCCTCCTTTAATAGACAACCAGATATCTCACCAGTCAACACCAAGGATGACTCAAACTGGTAAATCCAAAACGGGATTCTTTATCCGAGCTGAAATTTCATCTGCAACTACCACCTTCAGGCTGATGCAACTCTCCAAGTAAGTGAAGTGATCCACACCTTCCGTCACTTACCCTCCAATCATTAAACTTCGAATACTTGCACTAGACTAGTCATGAAGCACCATCTTACATTTGACGGCTGAGAGCCAGATGCACATCAAAAATACTCAGATTTATGCTCAACGCGTTTAGAAGACCCTGCATTTCGTCAGCGGGTTCACCCAGGAAGACAAAATCGTCTGAATACTACAAGTCGACCAGATGGCCACCAGGGAGTAGGTCAATTAATTCCTGTGAAGTCAGAGGTACCTGACGGTATGTCAGTTAGTATGTCTATGACAAAGTTTTCGTCTATTGTGGCTTTGAAGTCTCTATGAGTAAGACGAAAACTCACTTGAATGGTTTTATTATCCCGTGTACAACATCATATAGTCTCCTAATTAAAGGAACATAGTTTATTCTGTTTACTAGAAATGTCATAGTGATACTACATACTGTTTCACCCTGTGACACTTCCAATACACAGACTAAAATGGAATTACAATCAACCACAGCACCTAAGTTTTACTTATGTGCCAATGAACCGAGCTTATTAATGTTATAAGCAAGGAAAGCAGTGGCCCGAATGATGCTTCAGAAACTTGGCTGTCTTCAGTGACAGTGAGACATATTTCCAAGGGTTCGTTCGTTTACGAGATGATAGGTTAGCACCCAGAGATGATTGTGTCATTCTGTACATAAAGAATACTTTAAGACGTATGAAAACGTTGCACAAGAAAGTGGGACACGTAAAATGATACGTTGCTGCCTAAAGTGTAAGAGAAAAGATGTTAATCGAGTCATGGTACGTCAAAACCTTGGATGGGATGGGAAAGACCTCCCTCTAGATGAACTGACTTTATGAACAGATAAATGCAGATGTCTGGGTGTAGATTTCAACGCGCCATCAGTTGACTGGAACAACTCAACAACAGAAGCATTGCAAGATTCATTTGATCACCGGTTGGATGAGGCATCAAATATCCAAGGCTTTTATACAGCACATTAGAACGGAAACCAGAAACGATCATCAGGATGTTTCATGAGTTCTGGACCTAGTATTCTCCTACACAGATGACGTAAGCTTCATCCCATACCTTGCACCTCTTCGTGAAAGTTATTGTGCTGTGATCATGTTCAGACTCACAGCAGCTGAAATCTCAGCTAGAAACAATATGTGGAATGCGAAAGTGTCAGTTATTGACTCAGCAGCCTTGCAGGAGTATCAATAATTCAATTCAGACGCCTCGGTTGAGGTATATGGTGCTCCTTTAGTCCACAGTATGCACGAGTGATTCAACCGTTCATTCCGTGAACTCTCTTGAAGAGACGAAAACACTACACTCAGTGGATAAGCCATGAAACTCAGAGTTTAATACAACGGGAGAAGTGTCGGTGCCTTGTCACTCACTTTTGTTCTTCCGAGGTGAAGAAACCTTGCGAAAAAGCTCTTAATAAATGTAGTGTTGCTATCCGTCGGCCCTGAAATACTTTGTGACACTTTGCACCCAAACTGCAGTGAAGCATTCGAAGAGGCTATTTTCCTTAGATGAACTATAGGAATAAAATGTTTCGTGGTATCCGCGCCTTAACTGAAGAAGCAAAAACAAACCAGGCAACTAAAAACAATCAGGACAAGGTAGATGCAATAGCCAGATATTTTGCCGCTCTTTTTTACCAAAAACCTTCGACACACACCAACTCAACAGTAGAACTATTGACACCTAACAAAACTCTGTAAAAATCGAGTACAATGGTATATTTCAGAAATTAAGTACTCTAGATGCAGAAAAACCAATGGAACAGAATGAGTCTCACCCAAGGCTGCTAAGGCAGCCTACAAACTACACAGCTAGCCCGCTCACTACTACATTTAGACTGCCCTTCAGTGAAGGCATACTCCTATATGAATGAAAGCACAGCAAAGTCAACCCCATCCATAGGGCAGTTTCTAAACATCATCTATCAAATTACAGGCCGATAAGCTTGACTGATACTGTAATCAAGGTACTAGAAAGAATAATCAGGAAAGCCATTAAGGTCCACCTATAAAGCAAAAATCAGCTGTCTTGTTCA